TGGGGGGGGGGGGGGGAAATTGTTACTGAATGTAATTTATTTACTTTCTCTTTTCTCTTATCTATTTGTTTTTATATAAACATTTTATCACGAGTACCCCTGTATCATCTTTTCATCTTCATTTTAATCAGAAAGTGAAAAAATTGTGGTGGTTGAGGCACTGAAAAGGTAGTGAAAACTTCATATTAGCTGAAGATAAACACTCTACTGTCTGGTCTGTTTATCTTCACAGACATTTCCTGGTTTTGAGGTTTTCAAAATTCTTTCTTACTTTGATGTGATCTCTTTGTGTGACTGACATCTATGCAGCCTCTGTAGATTGTGATAATGTCTGTTCAAGCTTAATGTTAACTTATGTATGTCGGCAAATGCAAGTAGTGGTGTGTTTGTTTTTATCAGAGTGTAAGGCAAGAACACGTAATGCAATGTCTTGTCTTCAAAAAGACAAATAGTGATTGTGTGAGAAAGTTAGTTGTCTTTTGTTTGTATACTTTTGAAAGAAAAAGCATTATTTCCATTTTTTAAGTGTCTGCTGTTTTTGTATTTTCAGTATATCTCGACTTACAGTCCCAAAGGTTTTTGTCCTCAAACTTTCTAAGCAGTTTTTAAGACCAACAAAGTGCTACAAACAAGTCTTGCCTTCTCAACGTTACTTGTTCACATTGGTGTGTCAAGGAGAGTGAAAATAGCTTATATTTACATGCTTTCAAAAAAGTTTTTCATTTTTAAAAAGTGTAACAGTATGGCCAATCTGATTCTTGACACCCGCACAAGTTAAAATGTCCATAGTCACCTCATACAAGTGTGAACAAATTTTATGCTTAGAAGTGTGTGCTGATGATAACTTGTTTTTTTTTTTTTTAGCAAGGTAGTGGGAGTAGTAGTTGGCAACCAAAGATATTTTTTTCTTTTCTCAATCGTGTCCAAGTCAAGGTTTGTGGAATACAATACAACCATTTTTAGCCCTTTGTAATTGTTATGTCAGTGCAAATTTGCTGACGGCGGCTCTCGTGGCCTAGAGGTTAAGGTGTTCGCCTCTCCTTCAATAGGTCGCGGGTTTGAGCCTGGATAGCGAATGAGTCGGTGGTTGGCGGGTGCTCTGGTGTGGTCTGCTCCTTTTTTCCTATCAAACACCTATCATCCTTATCTCCCCTCCTTCTCTTTTGTGTTTTTTACTCTCTTGTAACACCTCTTATCTTCAGCACTTATATGACCTTATTGTGTTGCAAGTGTGGCAGAACACTTACTAAAACTGAATAGCGACGGAAATTTTACTTCTCTAAATTGTCTCGTTTCACCTCCTTTCCTGTTCTCTAGCAATCTTCTGTCGTCTGCTTTCGTCTCAACTCTCTGCCCCCACTCCCCCCTCCTCTGGGCCCCTGACTCTTTCTGCACCCTTTCTACTGATTCTCCTTGGCTCCTGCTGTCTTTCAGCCACATCCCTGATCTTCTGGTAGGAAAGATGTACACCTAGCCTTCTTGGACAAGGGTGAACAATTTTGGAGGTCCTGTGTGCAAGTTGCACACATTAAAGATCCCTTTGTGGTCCAAAATCTACAAGAGTAGGCTTCGACCGCACATGGACAAAATTCAAAATTTCCTAACAACTGAAAATGTTAAATGTGTCCTGCGCGCCCATATGGCCTTATGCAGTTGCGAGTGCCGTAAAACACTTACCAAGTTTGCAGACCAAATACCGCCATGAGGAGTTCGTACTAATGCTTTAGACAGGTTGTTCAGATGCATGTGACCTTGTTAAAGCGAGAGCAAAATGACTTTTGAATTGATTGATAAGTCTGTCAGTACAGTAGATCTTGTTTTGTTTCTGCAGCTGGTAATGACAAATCCTCATGTGTTGTAATGATGGAAACCTCCCCCCCCAGTAAAATTTATGTAGCACTCAACCTTAAAGGAACCAAGGTCTGGCACTCTTTTCTTCTCAAAACCAAAGTAAGAGGAATTATTGCGTAATTCATGTGGTAGATTATTATATAACTGGTCAAGCTGTCGGATAACTAGGACCATAAGCATTTAACTTTTATGTTGCACTTTATTGGTCTCAGTTCTGCTAGCTTTTTATATTCCGTGCAGCATATTTTCAATAGCAGATATCTTTTCTTGGAAATGCCAAAAAAAGCTGAAGATTAATTACATGTAATTGATTTTGCACATAGTAAATAACATTTCATCACCTTTTGTACCCATTTTTCATCTGTATGATTGATTCTCATATATAATTTGTGGATGAATTGGAGTTAAAAAGCTGTAATATTGCATGCAACATTGTGTTTAGGTCAGACTAGACTGCAGATTTGTTCGATTATCTTTCTATTTCCACCTCTTTTTACATTACACATGATGTTTTGAGCGCTCTTTTTCAGCTGTTCTGGAGCATATGAAATTGGCATTTGAAAAAATACTACCGTATTCGTTATCTGCTTCCATTCCTGATGAAACTTTTCCAGTACTGGTTTTAAAATCCATTGTACTTTTGTTGCAATATGAAAGTTGCACTGGCTTAGGGTTGGTGCCACCATCAATCTACATTACTGTCCAAAGGTCAAATTTTGCAGGGAATGTAGAAAGATGTTTTAATGTACTCTTTTTTTTTTCCCACAGACACTTGCAGGCCAATCAGCATCAAGGAAAGTTGTGCAAATGTTCATGAAACATTCTCTTCTGCAGAAGATGCTTTATGCATGAAGCTTAAGTCGTACTTTTCTACTGGTCAAAATAATTTGATCTTGTATTTTGAGATCTGAGGTGGCCTGTGGTGGTCTAGTATTTTGATATCTGTTTTGTCCTGACAGGCTTCAAAAAAGATGTATTTGTCACTTTTTCTATTCGTACAGTTTTGAAGATTTCACCTGACATCGGTAATAGCCTTCTCAGTATGTTGCTAGTTGGTTTTGGGGAATCGTTTCAAAATTCTTACTGTATGAATATCTGTGCTCATGGGGATCTGTTTATCAGAAAGAAAAGAATTTGGTGTAGTCAAAATAGTTAAAAGTTATCTAGCTGTATCCACCTGTATTCAGGCTTTTTGTTGTAGCTGTTGAGTGAAACTAGTACTTTGATGTACAGTTTGGCTCTTTTTTCTCATAACCCCCCCCCCCAGAGCTGCTGTATTCTTGTATCTCCATTCTTGTTGTCTCAAACAGATATTCTAGATGCAAGCCATGAAAAACCTCTCAGAACCAGACGTTAATTACTGACTGTTTGTACCAGATTGCATTTGGCGTCTCCATTTTTAGTTTAGTCACCATTGTTTCCAATTGTTTGAAGTGTTAAGTTAATGTTAGTATTGTATGTTAGTCACCAGTGCTCTCTGTTCTTATATGATAAGAAAAAGACTGTAGCAATCAGAACAAAAATTTGCCCGCAAATAAACTTTATCGATTGCTTTACAACTGAAAGATGTCTTTCGTTATTGCTTAATTTTTGTCATGACTCTGTGGAATCAGGCGCTCGTCAATTTTTGGGCATGTAGAGTTATTGGTATCATCTGGAAGCTGATTTATTTGTCTTGCTTTCAATGAAATAAATGTCCCTTTATCTTGAACAGAACTCAAGATATCTACGATTGAAAGAAGTGAGGTTGCCTGGTTTCAGTGGTTAAATTAGCGAGAAAATGTCCGCCAAAGTTTGGTAACTCCAATGGCTAAAGAGTCTTTGAAAACTGAAAAATGGCTTAGTTTGTGCCTTTAATCAGTGTTTTTCAGTAAAATTCACATGGAAATGTGCTTTTATATGGACGTAAAAGAGGATAAGCCAAAAAATAAAAATTTGACAAAAATTTCCATTTGTGGAAAAATACCTGTTTCTCCGATTTCATTATTTTGACGATGATGAAGTAATATCTGCCTAGGACAAAGAGGCATGTCCTTTACCCAAATGTTTAACCTCTCAGTTGTGTCAAAGTGCTCAAAGATGGCAGCAACAGTAATTCTACTGATCCTTCTGATTCCAACAAAGGAATTATTTATGAGACAAGGCGCTGAATACGTGTGTGTTTCCCTGCATTTTTGCCTTTGGTCTTAGTTTTAGTATTGAAAAGCATTGACTGCAAACGTCTTCTACTTTTGACCCTGAGGTGCTTGTTGTTGTAGGCTACATTATACTACATACACGGTTTTTGTTTGGTGATGATAACATTCTGTTTTGCTAAACTGCTACAGAACATCATAAGTAAAATCAGATTCTTAGCAGTTGCCTTCAACCTCAAGGACAGCTGGACAACACAGTTGCGTAATCATTATTCTAGCTTCCAGAAAATATGTGTCACGAAGCAGTGGAATCAGGCGCTCTTTAATTTTTGGGCATATGGAGTTATTGTTGTCATCCTAAAGGTTGTTTGTAATTCACAAATTACCTTGATTTCGATGAAAAAAAAGCCATTTTTCTTGAATAGAATTCGAGGTATTTGCAATTGAAGGGGGTGGGGTCGCTTGATTTCAGAGGTAAAATTAGTGAGAAAATGGCTGCCAGTTTAGTGACTTCCATAGCTTAAAAGTCCTTGGAAACTGCAAATTTAAATATGTTGTACATTTAAACGTTTTCCCGTAAAAATCCTCACAAAGTGTTTCTAAGTGGATATACAATGTAGGCTACAAGGTGTTGAGCCAAAAAACAAATTCGAAAGAAAATTTCCAAACTGGCCAAAAAATGCAGATTTCTTGGATTTTATTATTTTGATGAGCGCCTAATTTCACCACGATGCCTCACACTCACATATGACTTTCACAAGAATACTAATTGTAACAACACAATCCAAAAATTAGGGCAATAGAAACCATATAGTCCTAACTCTACTGGCTGAAGCTCATTCTCATGGTTTTATTTGAAACGAATAGTGTATTTGACAAACTCAGTGAAAAGCAAAACATGAAGATTGAAACATGAAATTGACTACAATGTATGACTTTGCTATAGCTTGCACTCATTCCAGTCCCTGACATGCAAAGCTAAACCAGTACTTATAGTACATGTACTTACACAAGCTTAGAACGCATTGTTCTAAATGGAAAACAAAACAAAAATAGATCAAACTTGAAGGGACTCATTCGTTCCAAATTATACTGGTCATTTACAAAGGATAAATTTCAAAGAGCTGAAAGATTTGCTGCCGACTCCACAACCAGCATTAGCATTATACAATGAAGTTTTACAGAGCTATTTTACCTCAGGCTGCATAGCTCACAAAAATACTATTAATCTATACAGACCTGATTTATTTGCAACATAAAGAATAAGTAAAGGTCGATAATAAAATCAATACAGTCGTGATGCGAACACCAGTCAAACAAAACTTTATCAACAAGAAACAAAGTCAAAAGTGCTTACTCAATGGTCAAAATCGCAACAAGTTCATATAACCATACCAATTAAAATCTTCCACGAATCACAAGTATTGAATGGGCCTTACGTTTTAAGTCAACTGTGATGTCTTCAGGCGTTCATTGTACTTTTAAACAAGCTGGTATAAATTATAATATAGCGCAGCTTCCCCCTAAATGACCTAATTAATGTTAATGGGGGTTTAATTGCAACAAAAGGGCCACATTCAGCTTGTCGAGGTGAGAGAGAGGGTGAAAAAATCACGCCATGCGTCATAACTCTGCTGCGTCCACAGAGATAATTTTTCATCGGTTATATCAAATTAATACGGATAGGTAATAGACTATCATGGTACCTGCTTCATGCATGTCGTTACGTAATAAACAATGCTTCAAAAGATACTATGTACACACCTTATCACTTCCATGGGACGAGGAATTAAAAGATGTGGTCAGCTTGGTTTACATCTTAGCCGGAACCCTCTTGTATCCTATAAATAATGATATGGTGTTTTAATCCCCCCCCCCAACTCGATTTTCTCTTTTCGAATGGGTAGGGCCTACTTGATCGAGAGAGACGACAGGATGTTTGAATGTGATTCTAACTAGACCAAGCCCCAAAATATTATTGTTGTCTTGAGTCTGTAAATGTGTAACAGCAGAATCATCTCAGTTTCTCGTTGTCTTCTGTTCCGTTTTTACTCCATCACGGAATTGGTTTCAACTGTATGCACGCAGATCACAATACTTTAATCAACAGAACAGGTATATTATCATGTAGGCAGTTCATATCCCTCTCACTCTCAGCACTGGTTAGCTTTAAGGCAAGGTCAAAGCCCGCCTTCAAATTAATCTAAATGGGGTAAAAGACCTATGTTAAATGAAAAAGGTATCTTTATTGTACGATCTGAAAAATAAAATGTAATACAATTGAGTTAAGGGAAAATACGTGCCCCTCCCCTCCCCTCCCCTCCCCCCTCTCTCTCTCTTGTGAAGTTTAGGTGGCGGACTTCAACTTTTAGACAACTACCCTGATGATACTGCGCTAAAAATAAGGTATTCCCTGCAGAAGGCTGAAGTGGGCTATTAGAATGAATTGGCTGGCTACGTTGACATGTTCTGCTATACAGGATAATTTAACAAACAAACTAGCTTACAACAAACCATAAACGTATTGGTATCTTTATGAAACCACCTATGTAATGTGATGTTACATAATATGCAGATTAAAGAGCACAACCGTACATACAATGATAAACAGGGAGCCAAAAACATGAACATGTGGGGCG